GTATTGCCTGCATGTATGTGAGTGCATCCATGTCGTGCAATGCCTCGGAGGTCAGAAGAGGGCTTTGGATTCCCCTGGAACTGGAGTTAAGGATGGTTCGTAGCCACCATGTGGGTGCTGGGAATTGAACCTGGGTCCTCTGCAAGAGCAGTCAGTGCTCTTAACTGCTGAGCCATCTCTCCAGCCTCATTATCTATATTTTTTAGTTTTTTGAATTTATTTATTTTATGTGTAGGAGGTTTTGCCTGTGTTGTAGGTAAGTACATCTATAACATGCAATGCCCACAGAGGTCAGAAGAGGGTATCAGATCCCCTGGAACTAGAGCTAGAGATGGTTGTTAGCTGCCATGTAGGTGCTGGGAACAGAACCTGGGTGCTCTCTAAGAGCAGCCAGGGCTCCTAACGATTGACTCATCTCTCCAGGCCCTTTATTTATCTATTTCCTGTGTGTATGCATGCATCTGTGTGTGTGTGTGTCTGTCTGTCTGTGTCTGTGTGTGTAGGCACATGTGCACAGAGGTCTGAGAACAATTCCTTTTCAAAAAAATTTATCATTTTTATTTTATGTGTATGCATGTATTGTCTGCATGTATGTAGGTGCACCCATGTGGTGCAATGCCCACAAGAGATCAGAAGAGGGTGTCAGATCCCCTAGAACTGGAGTTATGAACAGCTGTTAGCTGTAATGTGGTTGCTGGGATTTGAACCCGGGTCTTCTGTAAGAACAGCCAGAGCTCTTAACACAGCCATCACTCCAGTCCAGAGGACAACTCTTGATAGTTTTTTCTTGCTACCTTGTGGAAGCCAGGAATCAAGCTTAGGTTGTTAGAACCTTAAGTCGAATTTTCTTTTCTTTTTCTTTTTTAAAGTCGAATTCTTTATTTATGAATTTGTATTTACTAACAAAGGGATGCACAGACAGATAATAGTAGCCCCCCTTTATCAATGGCTTTGTTTTCTGGGGTTGCACTTACATAAGATTAACAATTGTCCTAAAATAGTACATGGAAACACTCTAGAAATGTTTTAACTTGTACACTTTTCGGAGCAATGTAATGAAATAACAGCCTCACCCCTTCAAGAGGATATGAATCACCCTTTGTCCAGGGTTTACATCCAGAATATATGCCCTGCCCATAGTTACTTAGCAGCTGCCTTGGTTATTACTATATCTTAGCCTTGGTTCCAGGCATCCACTGAGACCCACACAAGAGCAGTTTCGATTTAAAATAAAGCAAAAGACAGATAATGTTTCTGCGGGAATAGGCTATGATAAAAATGTATTTCAACTGAGTTACTGTTTCAGTTCAAACACTAAATGTGCACTGTTCATGCATCTCATTTAAATGACCCCAGCATTACTACAGCCACTAGCAATCTTGCAGGCATCTAGCTGCGTCAGGATGGCACCGTGGCCTCCGCAGGATGAGAGCCCCAACTCTTTCGTGTAATATTTTTCTTTGAAGTCTCAATTTACCATGAAACACTGATTCCTTGAGGCCTAATTCTGGACGTGTGCTTTACGTTCCTCACCACACCACAGAAAAGAAGAGTGGCTTAAGACGTTTGCCATGCAAGTCTGAAAACCTGAGTTTGATTACTAGAGTCCACTGGCTCCAGAGTTGTCCTCTGACCTCCACATGTGTCCCCTCATCACATGCGTGTGCGTGTGTACACACACACACACACACACACACACACACACAGACACGCACTAATAATAGTTTTAAAATTTTTTAAATACCATTGATACTTTTTTAAATGCCCAAACAATCAAAGCAGGTGTTTCATCTTTAGTAGGAAAAGTCTGAAGTAAGATTCCAACACACCTGAAACTCATGATGAATTTTATGAATGTATTTATATATCCTTTTGTGGTGTAGTAGTCGATGCAGGAAATAATGCCAGGTGTCCTCAATGACTGCACAGCCCAAGCACCTAGTCAAAATCATATACCTGTGCAAGAAAATACAGAGATGAGCAGGAAACAACTATGACTCAGGATTACTGCCTGAAACACTGGACAAACCAAATACTCAGTTTTTAGCTTGACCTAACCACATATTAACCAACAAATTCTCAAAACTGCTAGAGAGCTGGGTGTGGTGGCACAATCACTGATCCCAGCAGTTGAGAGGCAGAGACAGGCAGATCTCTTGTGAGTTCCAGGCCAGCCAGGGCTATCAAGTGAGACCCTGTCTCAAAACAGAAACAAGGTGTGAAGAGATGGCTCAGTGGTTAAGAGCACTAGCTACTCTTACAGAGGACCCAGGTTCGATTTCCAGCACCCACATGGCAGCTAACAACCATTTCTAACTCCAGTTCCAGGGGATCCAACACCCTCTTCTGACCTCTGAGTGCATTGCATGACACAGGTACACTTAACACACATGCAGGCAATACATTCATACACATAAAGTAACAACAACAATAATAAAATAGAAATAAAATTGCTAGATAAGGCCACATATTACAACCTGAAATAAGGTTAAACATTTGAACACAATTTCCATTCTATTTTATACTGCCAAAAATTCGAAGGTATAAGATCAGTTAAGAAACCAAAGTCTAGGGGCTGGAGAGATGGCTCAGCAGTTAAGAACACCGGTTGTTCTTGCAGAAGACCTGGGTTCGAATCCCAGCACCCATATGGCAGCTAACAACTGTCCCTAACTCCAGTTCCAGGGGATCCGATGGCCTCTTGTGTCCTCCGTGGGCATTGCACGACATGGGTGCACTTACCTACATGCAGGCAATACACTCATACACATAAAATAAAAATAATAAACAAAATTTAGAAAAAAGAAACCAAAGTCTAATAGTAATGCCATTGCTTTTTCTATCATAAAAGAGCTTAATTTAAATTAAATTAAAATAACAATTCACAGGAGTTGGAGAGGTGGCACAGTAGTTAAGAACACAGGCTGCTCTTACAGAGGTTCAATTCCCAGCACCCACATGGTGGCTAATGACTGTTCTAACTCCAGTTCCAGTGGATCCAATGGCCTCTTTTGACCTCCATGAGCATTTCACAATACAGGTGTACCTAGCTTTATACAGATAATATGTTCATAGACATAAAAATGAATAAAAATAATAAATAAAATATTTTTTAACATTTTATATACAAACTTACACACCCAGAGACTTTTATGTGCTTAGGACCCTTATTTAAAATGGCATATATAATATTCAGTTGTATAGTCTTTGCAATCCTCTCGTAATTATCTCTGACCTACTAATAACACCTAACGCAATCTAAATGCTATAGAAGTAATTGTTGCACAGTATTGTTTAGTGAACAAGAGAAAAACAGGTCATACTTGCAGGCATAACACTCATACATATAAAATAAAAAATAAGTTGAAAAAATTCAATTTTCACTGACGTACCATCTTGGCATTCTTTCCCAATCATAAGGAATATTGAAAAACTCTGTAAAATAGTAAGTTCCACAAATCATAGGCAACTGGATACAAAAGTGATTAAAGAGAAGTCCTTTAAAACATTTCCACTGGCCTTCCAATGTTTCCGGTTTATCCTATGGAGAAAAATTACAATATTTAATATTGGTCTGTTATTACTTTAGGTTAACAAGTAAATTCCTAAGCTTTCTCTAATATACGTAACAGTCCTTAATTCTATGCTAGGTTAATTTCATGCTTTAGTAGCAAGGGCTTTCTACAACTACTTCAACACCTACCATTATATCATATATTATTATTAATACAAAAACTCAAGTACAATGATCTAAAACTAGCCTAAGAAGCACCACAGCAGGAATAAGTATCCAGTCTCTGCTGTCTACAGATCGCTTACTTTTTTATTAGAAGTTTCAGAAGAATTAAGTTATTCTAAGTGTGGTGGTCTGAATGAGAAATGTCCTCTATAGACCCACTTATCTGAGCACTTGGTCCCCTGCTGGCGGGGCTGTTTGGGAGGTGCAGCCTTGCTAGAAGAAGTATGTCCCTGGGGGTGGCTCTGAGAGTTCACAGCCTTGCTTCACTTTCAGTCTCTCTGCTTCCTGTTTGCCACTAGAGAGATGTGCACCCTCAGCTTCCTACTCTGGCCCTTGTGTCTTCAGCTTGCTGCCTTGCTTGCACACTATGATAGATTCTTAACCCTCTGGAACCATAAGCCCAAAAGACTTCCTTTTGTGAGTTGCCTTGGTTATGGTGTTCTACCACAGCAACAGAAAAGTAACTAATACTCGAAGGTCGCACTGGGTGCTCTGGCTGAGCATCTGCACATGCAGCAGCTGGAAGCTTCTACCACAAAGGCAAATCACAGCTTCTAGGCATCCAGCGGTGCTCATGTAGTGAAACAAGATCATTTTGCATACACAGGATAAGCACTGAGTTGTTAGAACGTCAAAGATGTGCCCTGACAATGAAGCTCAGATTCAAGACAGAAAGAAAGGTGAGATCAGTGTAGAGATGTTCATAAAACCCCAGGAATCTGAATCAGTGACAAGCCATTATGGAAACTAAAATTTAAATGGCTGCAAGCATGCCCAGGACCACAGTAGTTTTTGTCAGAACCTGGATTACATAAAGCCTAGGTCTCTTGTTTTGAAATTCTTCCTGAGGTATCTTCCTGAACTGGGCATGGTGGTGCACACTTCTATTTCCTTGGGAGGTAAGAACAGAAGAATCTCAAGTTTAAGGCCAGCCTGAGCTATATGGAAACCTACTCTATAAAAACACAAAAATAAAACAAAACAAAACAACAACAAAAAAACCCAACAAGAACCTGCAAGATGGGTCAGCAGGCAGAGGCACCTGCTGCCAAGCCAGACCACAAGAACTCGATCCCAAGGACCCGCATGGTAAGAGAGAACAGACTCCTACAACTTGTCCTCTGACCTCTGCATGCACATGTAAAAATAACAAAATGTAATTAAATATATCACAAGAAAACTAAGTCTTTAAAAAACTTTTTAAATTATTTTAATTTTCTGTGTGTTTTGCCTGCATGTATGCAAGTGCACCTGTGTATGCAATGTCCAAGAAGGGCATCAGAGCCGCTGGAACTGGAGTTATGGACTTTGTTAGGTGCCATGTGGGTACTGGGAATCCAACTGGGGTCCTCTGGAAGAGCATACAGTGCTCTTACCCACTGAGACAGCTCTCTAGCCCCAAGAAAACAAAGTCTTAATCTAAGAACCAACCCCTAGGCCTCAGCTAGAATACTGAACTACTTCTACTCATCTAACTAGCTCTGTGATGCATACGACACATTTTTCTCTACAATAAGACAACGGGACTACACAAGGTAACTTACAATTGCCTTTGTATTTCTATTCTACAAGTTATTTGACCCCATTCATCCAAACCTCAGTCTGTGACCAATGACAAAGTAACCCAAAGATTCAAGCTTACTTCTCGGATAGACTCTGATACTCAAGTAATTAAAACAAATTGCAAAGCTTAGAGGGGTATAAATATAACTTAGTAAAAAGTGCTTATTTAGCATGTGTGAGGCCCTGGGTTTGATCTCGACATCCCAGAAAAAAAAAAAAAAAAAAAGAAATTACTATAAGCAACAATTATTATAACTAACAAAACCATAACTATGTTGTTTATAGAATATATGCAAACTGGTTAAGACGACGGTTAAATTTATGCCTAGTATATCAAAGCTTACCACACTTTACTTGAATATGTGTGTCTGGACCCTCACATTAAGGAGGTCCAGGGCCATGGACTTCAAAGATGTTATTATTACATCTATCTTTGAGGAAATTTTTTGAAAAAATTATCAAAACGTGTGATTTTTTTTAAAGAAATGGACCTTGCAGGGTCTACTTTACTTTGCCAAGCATGTAAATTTCCCTCCACCTGGAGTGCTGAATTGTTTAGTTCATTTGAAAGCAGAAAGCATCTAGCACTATGTAATTATCAACAGCAGTCTGAATTATTTTAGATGGTGTGTGTGTACACACGTGCACCCACAGTGTTTTTTCCTTTTTCTTTTCTTTTTTTTTTTTAAAGGCAGTGTCACATGTATCCCAGGGTGGCCTGAAACTTGGTATGTAGCCAAAAACAACCTTCAATTTCTGATCCTTCTGTCTCCACCCCAAACACTAGGATTACAGGTGTGCACCATACTTGGTGGTTGGGGGGTGGGGGTAGGAGTAACTTTTTAAATGAAAACAAAAAAATTCTACGTGTTAAATAATGATTCCCAAATACTTTATCTTGGAATTTCCAAAGCACTTACAAAGGACATGTGCATCTTCTTGCTCTCACATGTCAAGACCAGCATGTGGTTTCAAAATGCGTAAATCTGCACTAACCTATATTATTTGTTTTTAATTTGTAATTAATAATTGTACAGTGCTGGGGAGAAACCCAGGGCCTTTCTCTCACAGGCAAATGCTCTACTACTGAGCTCCAACCCCAGCCTTTACTTTCTTTTCAACCTCTTTATAATGTGAAAGTTTGTACTGATTTGACACCACCTTTCATTTTACTACTGAAAGTTCAAAGCCTGGGCTTTAATGGTCGTGAAACCTTTTGTAGACCTGCAGCCACACTACTCAGCCTTTCTGTACTTGTAGCCGATTAGACTGGTGCTCCTTTTGTGGCTGATGTTTTTGGGGGGATGGGGGTAACTGATGGGACAGAGCCTGGGGCCTTGTCCATGCTAGGCAAACACTCTAATGCTGAATTAGATCCCCAGCTCTACTTGCTCTCTTTCCTGCCTTATTTTATTTCAAGGTCACCCACATACCCTGCACTGAAAACACTCAATCACCCCAGTGACTCAGAACTTAAGACATCTAAACTGACTTCTGTTTTCAACTCAGGTCTTTCCATAAAAAGCACCTTGGAAGTAGTGACCTCAACTGAGAACGGCAGGATATTCTCCTTTGGGCTGCATCCCTTTTTAGTCCCTTTCCCCTTTCTCTTTTTGGCTAGACTCCACGGGTACCTGATGCCTGTATCAGCCATAGAGGGGATCTGTGTTAGTACTTGCTTAGTGACTCACTGGGAAAGGCTACAAAGCCAACACACTGGTGAGACACAATGCATGCACCCAGCAAAGATGAATATTCAGCATCTACTTTATGCCACTGTGTGTTACACCTTTGGAGTTGGCAAGGTGGTCCTGCCTGTAATCTTAGCACTCAGGAAGTAATAGTAGGAAGATCTCAATTTCAAGGCCCGTCTTAGCTACAGCAAGATGTTGTCTCAAAAACAAACAAGAACTAATTATTGGTTTACCAAGTGTTGATGAGTCCTTTCTCTCTCTACACTAGTCCAAATTCTTCCTAAGAGTCATGTTAAGTGAACGCCCTGCACATTAGAGTTCATATTATTAACTTTGTTTAAAATTGTACCTTAATACCAATCACGGACCGTGGGCTTGAGAGGCATGTAATGTACCGGAAGACATACTGAGACACAAGAGCATCACCTCTTATTGGGACCATACAAAAGCTATGGTATTCCCACCACATATGTATGAGGGAAACAAAAGCTGTAACAGCCCTGATCAAGATCCTTCCCTACTAATATTCACTTAGTTTTGTTGAGACTTCAGGAGTGGGGTGAAATTGATGTGTACCTTCTTTTCTAGACTGTTTTTCTTTTGCAGAAGAGGAGAATGGGCCAGGTAGGGTTAAAGAATATGTATATGTCTGCAGAGAATTAAACCCAGTGCCTTGAGCATGCTTAACAACATACTGTCCAACTACAATACAGCTGCCAGCTAATTCTTAAACCCCAACTAGATATGCACTACATGTGCCTAAAACCCAATTTTGCAAACAACGCTGGAAACATAATAATGATCTAAGGTTATGCTGTCCAATAGTGCATCAACTAGCATCATGAGGCTTCTCAATACTTCCAACTGAGATGGCTAACATGAGCTCAGGTACACACTAAATTCAGAGAACTATGAGGGTAAAATATCAAAATATCACATTAAGTACGGTTAAATTTTGGTTGGTGAAACAATAGTGTAGCTTTAGTGGGTTAAATTTAAAAGTATGAAAATTAACTTCCCTACTTTCTTATTACCTTTTTTGTTTTCTGTTTTGTCTTTTTGGTGGTGAGCCTAAGCCTTTCATGGCTGTGCCAGCTCTCTGGCCCTTTTGTTTTCGTTTTCTAGACAGGGTTCACTATGTAGTGTTGGCCAACCTGGAACTCGGATATGTAGACCAGGCTGGTCAGGAACTTACAAAGATCTGCCCGCCTCTCCTTCTCAAGTGCTGGGATTAAAGGTGTGTACTACCACACCCAGCCCTTACTATCTTTCTAAGGTATTATACTGGAAATCTAAAATTACAGATGTGTCCATTATATTTCTACTAGAAAGTACTGATTTGGAGTCTCTCCAAACCAAGCTTCATGCACTTAAAAAATATCCAGCAACACCCGTTATAATATTCGATGGTGACCCCGTCACACTCACCTTTTGAATTTTGTACTTTCTCATGTAAGGTATAAACTGAAATAGAAATCCAGGTAAAGAGAATAAGAAGTATATGACTTCGTGAACAATGAGGGACCCCCAGGTGGCGATCTGGAACTTCGTGTAGTTGTCCAGCATGTAACCCCAAGCGTTCTTAAAGGGCTGCTGCAGTGGATTCTCAGGCAGCAGTGAATCCACAAACTCCACAGCCAGAGACGCCGAGCTGAAGATGCTCACATTCTCATTTGTGGCCATCTTCCCAATCACTGCAAGTGGCCTTTTAAGCCTGTAAGATTAAGTAAACAGGAAAAAAAAAAAATGAAATTCTGAAAAATAGCTTAAAAATGCATATCCTGGTAGGCTAAAGAATGACAATTACGGGGCTGGAGAGATGGCTCAGCGGTTAAGTGCACTGACTGCTCTTGCAGAGGACCCCGGTTCGATCCCCAGCACCCACATGGCAGCTACAAACCGTCCTTAACTCCAGTTCCTGGAGAATCCGAAGCCCTCTTCTGACCTCTGCAGCAATGCGCGGCACAGGTGCACTCACGTACATGCAGGCAATACACTCATACACATAAAATAAAAATAACAAAATATTAAAAAAGAATGACAATTACAAAACAAGTACTAATTTCTCCAGACATGATTTAAAGGATAATCTACTAGATAATGTCACCATCTTCATTTGTAGATACTGTTTTTTAAAAAAAACACGTTCCTTCCAAGAGCAGTTCCTAAAAGAATAGTGGGAAAGGAATCCTGAGCTACAGTCAAAGAGATTTTTAATGTTTTGTCTCTGTGGAAGAACTTTTAATGTCATTGAACAGCACTGGGTTTGAGCCAGCCAAGACTGTTCAGTGGGTAAAGGTGCTTTCCTGATGACCTGAGTTCAATCCCTCAAACCCAGATAAAAGTAGGAGAGAACCAATTCCACAAAGTTGTTCTCTTACAAACACATGCACACTAAAAAGGGATTTTCTTTAAAGAATAAATTAAAAAAAAAAAAAAGCCTGCCCAAAATGACTAAGCAAAACTTAAATTCTTCTGATAAGAACAAAATTAAACTACAAGAAGCATTCTACCTCATGATTAGTGGACAACAACGTATGCGCTTTAGAAAAACCCAGCAGAAAAATGGCAAAAGCCATTCACAGGCAGAGAGCATCTCCAGGTTCAGTGAGATGACCATCTCAAAAAACAAATAAACAAGGTACGGAGCGGGTAAGGGAGACACCAGGCATTAACCTCTGGCTCCCACATGTGCACACGCGCATACGCACACAAACCAAGAAACTTAACTTCCCTCAAATGAGGAAATGTACTCCCAAACAAAAAGACATTTTTCCCAAGAGGCAAACCTTTGGAAGTTCAACAATGCTCAGCGCCCAGGATAGGTGTGGAAACAGGCATTATCCCACAGCGTTGGGTGGGGAGAGCTCAGTTATCATTTGTGATAAAAATCAGCACTATCTGTCACAATCTAAATATGACTGTATCCTTTGAGAAATATGTTAAAAATGAAAGGAAGGATTGCTTCTAGCCAGCTAGAGATTTAAAGAGAATATGTAAGTCCATAAACAAGAGATGCATAAAATAAATTCTATTAAATCCTCCAATAGGCAATGATATACTGTTTCAAAGAATGAGGAAGTTGGGCGTGGTGGAGTCCACTTAGAATCCTAGTACTTGAAAGCCCAAGGCAGGAGGATTGCTGCGAGTTCAAGGTGGGCCTGAGCTCCATAGTGAGACCTTGTCTCAAAAAAACAAACCAAAATAAAACAGTGAAAGTATGCTGGAAACCTCAGGCTCAAATGAAGATGTCCTGTTCAAGCAATTCTTCCAATCCTATCGGCACACCCGCTTCAGCTCTTAGCAAATCTGTCATTAAAGTTCTCCTTTTTAAAATCAAAATACAGTGTATTCTTAAAAAAAAAGAAAGAAAGAAAAAAGAACGAACGGAGGGGGCTGGAGATAAGGGGCTCAGCTGTTAAGATACTGCTCCTGCTGAGGACCCAAGTTCAGTTCCTAGCACCCATGTCAGGCAGCTGCAACTCCAGCTCTCAGGAAATCCAACACCCTCTTCTGGAATTCTTGGGCACCTGAACTCATGTGCACATTCCCACATACACATACATGTAGTAATGAGAATAAAAAAATAGTTGGGCATGGTAGCACTGCCTTTAATCCCAGCGCTCAGGAGGCAGAGGCAGGCCGATCTCTGTGAGTTCAAGGTCAGCCTGATCTACAGAGTGAATTCCAGCCCAGCTGGGGGTACAGGGCAACCTTGTCTCAAAAAGACCAAAAAAAAAAAGAATAAAAAAAGAACGAGGGAAACCTATTTATTTTGCATAGGATGACATATAAAACCTAGTATTAATTCAAAAGAAAACGCAGATTAATATGTTTATTAAGTCAAATACAGCTACATAAAAATTAAATCTTTGTATTCTGTGAAAGTGTGTCTTTTAACTCTCATGTACATGTACACAGACATATGTACAAAACACATAGGACACACACCATTTATAGTGGGAATCTACGAAAGGAGATTTAAAGGGAAAAGAACGTGATTGAGGCGTAGTGAGCTTTCCCACGTTATACTTTCTATATAACTATAAATTCTTAAATGAGAATATATTGTATGTGTTTAATAAATGTTAGACAACAAGCCTCCAACCAAAAGATGAAAAACTTCATTCCAAACTTCACATTCATGAAAATATCTCTGCTGTTTTTAACTTATGAATTGATGGGCCACTGGAAAAAAAGAGTATTTTAGGCTGGGATACAGCTCAATTGGTAAAGTGCTTGCTTAGCATGCACAAAGTGCTAGATTCCATCCCCAACACCCCATGAACTGGCACAGTGGTGCCTATCTTGAAATCCCAGTACTCTGGAGGTAGAGACAGGAGGATCAGGAGGATCAGAAGTTCCAGGTGATACTTGGCTACATATCAAGTCTGAGGCCAGTCAGGGATACATGAGACCCTGTCTCAAAAAACAAGCAAATGAGTATTTCAAACCCTTGGAAGAATTCACTATAGCACTTAAAACTCTCTGGCACTTTAAAGATCCACCTCTCATCCTATTCTTCCATACATGAGGTATTAGCAAGTTTAACCAACTTCTTGTAGGTCTTTCAACTCCCTCAGTACTTCTTTCTGTCCCAGGCATTATCCAGAGGCTTAGCCCACAGGGACTAGTGTTACATCCTATACCAGCTGGCACTCAATGTTTCTTCATTCTTTTCAAGACTGACTAGTCTTCTCATGTTCTTAACTCATCAAGAACCTGCCCCTCTTCTATTTTTCATCCCATGGAACCTGACTTCCCCACTCTAAAAGCATACTCAAGTCTTTCTAGAAAAAAAGCTTTCGTAGCTAAGCCGTTACTCATAAGGCTGACATGGGAAGATGGTGAGTTTGAGGCCAGCCTGTTTCCAGTGAGACCCTGTCTAGGAAAAGTCAAGAGGGATGAGAATGTCTAACCTCTATTACCTCTTCAGGCACCACTGAGCACCTTTTCAAAAGAAAATTCCATCTAGTACCTCCCCTGGATGCTCACTCAGTTCCTGATCCACATAAAGATGTCTCCAACTACACACAAAGTTGCAAAACAAGACCATTGGTCTAATCTCCATTTTTCCCGTGGTCATTATCAAATTTGTCAATGACTGATAAACACTACTTAGTAGCTGTAGGCTCTAGTTTTGTGGTCACAATTCTATCATCTGGAAAAATACTCAATAATAATTCTTCCAGTAAGGCCAAGAAATAACACATGTAAAGTGCCTGACTCAGCACACAGCACCGCAAGAAGCTAATAAACTACAAAGCATGGTATTCATCTCAGGTATGTGCTATGAATGTATATTTTCTTCATTTTAACTTAAATCCTTACTTCACCATCATAGAGGTATTTTTATTAGCCGCATTTTTAAGATGAAAAGCTGAAGTTTAGAAACAATAAGCAATCTGTCCAAAGTTACATAGATGTTGAGTGGAGGAACCCATGCACTTACCCATACTGATGAACTGTCAGTTTAAATAAAGCACTCAATTACCACTATAGTTAAAGCTACACTATAGCTTAACTTGGCCCATGAAGAGCTGTTTTCATGTTCTCCCTCCCCATGGCTTTCCATTCTCATCACAGTGCTCAACTTGCCCCTATCGCCAAGCCTCTCCCTGCTATCAAATCCAATGTTCTTTACAGTTTGTTGACCAATCTGGAAGATGTTTGTTTTTAAAGACAAAATCTTTAGCTCATACTGGCCTTGCTATGCAACTGAGGAAGACCTTGAACTTCTGATCCTCTGGCCTCCACTGAGGGCTGGGATTACAGGTGTTTGCCAACACACCCAGCCACGAATCTGGAAGATGTGACATTTCCCTCCTTGAAGTTTTTACTTTGGCTGGTGGAATTCCCATGGATTCCCTTTAACAAATATTTGTGCCTATGATGTAAAGTCATCGGGCTACCTGGGTCCCTTACTCCCAGACGTGACATGGTCAGTACAGAGGGCTATGAGGACAGAGGAGTTGGGGGAACAATGTTTTGAGTAGTAAAGGAAAATCCAAACACTTAGCCAAGAAGATGAGAAAGAGTCCAGTGGTCTCTTAGCATCTTGACCAGGCAGCCCAGAGCATCAATGCCTTCCTTAACTACCACTCCCTCCCCCCAAAAATCTAGGTTCTGATTATCCAAAAAGCCACTGGCCTCCTTCACTTAAAGGAAGTTTGGATGCTGGTCAAAACCAAAACACCCCAAACTCCAGCAGGTGCTTCCTCCAAAATATTCAGGATGTAACTTGAACTTCATCACCCCCTACATCCTCTCCAACAGGTTTTAGTTTCTCCCATCTCAGCTGTCTGGATTAAATGTCTTTGAACTTTCACACAATGTTAAGTCAGAGTTCAATTATCCCAGTTACTTTGTGTAATGAAGAAAGGAAAATGGGTTATGCTGCTGTCAAGTGAACAAAGGTGAGCAGTAATCAAACAGGACAGGGGAAGGAGAGGTTTGGAAGAGAATCTTCTGTTTCTCATCCTTGGGCAACGTGCCTGATCTACAGCAGGTGAACCAGTTCCTCAGGAAGAAAAACTTATGCGGATTCCCTGAGTAAGCTTTAAGTCTAGCTGTCGGCCTGTGTCCATCCTTTGGCACTTGAGTTCAGTGAATACCTGTATAACACTGCCAGGTTCCCTAAGCATGCGAATTGAAACCCTCACGGTTCACGCGGGAACTCCTCTACAGGCGAAGACTGGACCCCTTTTCTAAGCACCGACCCCCCATGGAACCACGCACAGTTCCTGCGCTCCATCCCTCTGCTGACAAACACCTAACCAACTCCTACTCATCCTTCAGAACCTCGAGGGCACCTTCCCAGAGCCAGGACACAAAGCAGACCTAACGTCCCCCGTAGTGCGTGTGTCTTGTAAAAAGTTACTCCTCCTAGGTCAGTGATCGCACCCGGTGGCCGCAGCCTAGAGTCAAGGCGGGTCTGCGTTCCAGTTCCATCCCTTTAGAACCTCGCCTCCTCCGGGTCGCTTCCTTCCCTGGAGCCTTGCCCAGCAACTGCACAGCGCGGGCTCCTTCCCTCCCCGTCTCGCCCCCTCAGCCCATCCGCGGCCCCACGCACCTGCCCGATGCTCCTCACCGGCCTCCACAACCTCACTGCGAACCTGGGACCGCTGGACTCCGCTGGAGCCGCGGCCGCCACACACTGTCTCCTTGGGGCGGGGCCCGGAGGCGCGGCCGTCCCTCCTGCCGTGATTGGTCCACCAGGGCTCCCGCCCCGCCTTCCAGACGCGGTGATTGGTCCGTGTATCGTTGGCAGCTGGTGACTCGCTTCAACGAATCCCTGGCGGAGCCGGCCATTGGCTGTACGGATGGAGTGAGGATAGTGAGACCCGGGCGACCAGCCAGTGGGCGGCAGCGCAGTGCAGCCGGGGGCGGGGCAACGTGTGGGCGCGTGACGGCGTGACGGGGCGGAGCGGCGGGTACTCGCCGGGCCCGGCGTCGCCATGGCAACCAAATTGCTGGCTCCCGGGAAGGTGGGCATTCGGTCGTCCTGGGAAGCATCTTTGCTTCTTAGGTCTCATCCCCAAGCCGGGAAAAAGTAGCACAACTGTTTTAAAAATTGATTTGAGTTTGTAGTCTCGCCTTTCCGTGGTTTATTCTGGATTTTGACTTTTGGGGTTTTGGTGTTTTCAATATTTTATTATTTTAATTTTATGTGTAGGGGTGTATTGCCTGCATGTAAAGTATACCTGTGTCGTGCAGTGCTCGGGGAGATCACAGGAAGGCGTCGGATTCCTTAGAACTGGAGTTACAGACGGTTGTTAGCGACAATATGGGTGCTGGGAACCGAACCTGGTCCTCTGCATAGAGCAGCCAGTGCTCTTAATCGCTGAGCTATCTCTTCAGACCACTTTTTGTTTTTTGAGATAGGCTTCATGTACAGACTGAAATTTGAACTCAAAATGTAGCCAAGGATGACCTTGAACTCCTAATCTTCCTTTCCATCTCCGATCTTCTATCTTGCTTCCCCAACCCTTTAATAAGTATTTGTTTTTTTCAAAGTAACCCTTTCTTTTTCCACATTTGGAGTCTATGTGTGAATGTGTGTGTGTGGTCACAGGTCACCTTAAGGAGTCAGCTTTTTCCTATGAGTTCTGGGGATCAGACTCAGATTGTCAGGCTTGTGCCACACACACTTTTACTCACGAAGCGAAGTCTTTATAAATCATGGAGTTCTAGTGCAATATAAATCCTGCAAAAATGCAGAGGGAAAGTTGCTATCATCACCATGTTCTAGATAAGAGAACAGACACAGGACAGGAGATGACTGGAGTGGCCTTGGGGGAAGTAGTTCAGGGGTACAGTATGTTCTTAGCCCTCTAGAAGCCCTGGATTCCACAAACAGGAAATGATTCCAGGTCAAGGGCGATGTCTACTCCCTGGGGTGTGAAGGCCTGGACCTAAACCAGAAAGTGAGCTGAGAACACCCAAGCGTGGGCACTGTAGTTGCTGTGTGCAACACCGAGTGCCCAAGGACAAGGGCTTTGCCCACAGCTCCAGGCTCATTTCACAGCAAGTCTTCACTGGTCTACGTACAGCCTGTGTAGATGACACAATAACATGGAGCTAAGCTTTGACTCATGGAAAGGGTACCTTTGAAAAAAGTAAAAGCCATCCAGTGTGGTGGCAAGCCTGTAACCCCACCAGCATTTGGGAAGTAGAAACAAGAGGACTGGGAATTCAAAGTCAGCCTTGACTACATAAGAAGTTCAAGGCCAACCTGGGCTATCAGAAACCCTACCTCAAAACAACCTCTCCAAACAAACAAACAAAAAATAAAAGCCAGATGTGGTACATGCCTATAATCGAAACATTTGGGGTGCTGAGGCAGAAGGATTTTCCAGAATGTGAGGCCAGCCAGAGCTACACAGCATGTCTCTATGTCTAAAACAAATTTTTATAAAACAAAAAAATGGCATGGGGCACTATTTGGCTAGTGAAGTGCTCCCTCACCTAAAAGTACAGTTGACATACAAATATATAAATACTGTGAACAAATTTCATGTGTGCACACTGTGTGAAGGCTCTGCCTGGGACTTCTAAAGAATGGATAACTTTGCTTCTCCCATTCGTGCCTTACATAGACTGGCTGGCTGGCTGTCCGTCCTCCCTGCCCTTTCCTATCAACTCTGATACCATCTCCTTGAGGAAGTCTCCTCGACTGGACTTACCAGTGTGCCCTATTTGCTCACAGCTGTACCTATTCTACACCTTTAGCACACATATTCTTTGTAAAGTGTTGTGGCAGGCAGGTCAACTCAAAGGAAAAGAAATAGAACCTGTTCTTTGGGTCAAGGTCAGAGCCCTGTTTGTTAGGATGACTATGTCATCCCCATTAGGGCCTTAAGCAGCCTTCCTCCAGTGGCTGAGCACAGCCAGAGCTGCTATCCCAGAGTCCACACCCTCTCCAGTAGATGGACTGAGGCCACTGATTGGTTGGTCCATGGACATAAGAATCTAACACATCACACCAGTTTAGGACTACTTTGCCTGGCCAATCTCAGTTCCAGATCTCCCTGCCTCCTATCGGCTGAGGCTGTGCGTGTGACTACCTCTGTGCTTTTCCCTCTGTCCAAGCCTGCTGCCTTGTCAAGGACAAGCACATCATGCACAACAGGGTCAGATTAACCAGCCTAGACATGTATTATCAGTGTACACCTAGACAAGTACAGTATGTGACATACGAGAGTTCAGTTATCGCATACTCAATAGGCCAAGTGAGCACCCCTGGCAAGCATGGTGAGGCCCTGGCTTTGATTCCCAGCCCCACAAGTCAAATGTACGCTAAATAAAGGCTAGTTATGATTCCTGATTTAGAATTCTACCACTCGTTTTCGAAATCAGACCAGGTGTATCTCTGTGGATGAGTCCAATTGTTTTTTAAACCTTGGAGACTCACAGCTGGACAGAACGGGAGCTTTGGCAGCTCCACTTATTTATTCTTGCAGCAAAGGAGGAGCAGGCAGAGAGAACAGCAACAGCTGTAATCTACTGAGAGCTTCCAGGCACATAAATACGATTGCATCTTTCAAATCCTTTGACAATCCTGTGGCATAACATTACTTATTGTCTTCATTCTTTGAGGTAACAAAGAATCAAAGGTTAAATGTCTTGAAAGTCACAGCTGGCAAGTGGTATGGGGACACAAACCCAAAGCCCTCTGATTTCTGTGTCTATGGGCTCCTCTACACCATGTCAGGTTTTCCCTTAAAAAGTGAAGCCCAAGACTAGAATCTCAGAAACTTGACGCTTAATGAATGGGTCCATTCCTCCATACAGCCTTCTCTCCAAAATGAGGCACTGGTGGCCATCAAAGTCTATAGAAGGCAATTTGCTCCAAAGCAAGTTAAATTAATGCAGCCTCAGCATGTGGCTGGGTAATACTATATTACATCATATACCTAATACAACAACAGAAGGTCCCATGCTAGACATCATGCCAGAGCCCCTAAGGAGCAGGAAAGAGCCAAGTCTTCTGGCAGCATACACACCACCAACCTAAACCCTGGACATCTCTGCTTTTATCCAACAAGGTACAGATTCAAGAAAAGCTCTGCTTGCAAAACAGCTGTCTTTGAACTTTGCTCAAACTTCAGGCCTGCTTTCTTGGCAAAATTTCTATGATCCCCTCTGTCTCAACTTCCAAACTCTTTCGTACAATAAGAGAACAAGCTGTTAATTCTTCTATAGGTTAGGGGAAAACCAAACTACAAACCACAGAGTATTCAAACTGGAGAAATGAAGGTTGGCATAGGAAAGGCAGCTCCAAATCTCTGACATCAGTTAGGTATGCAACTGCTGAAAAATCCTGGCAAGCAAAAGAGAAAAAGCGAAAACCAAGAGATGTTTAACATGTAATTCTTTGTTATCAGTTAGAGAGTAAGATTATATTTCAAGAAAAGCTTTTAAAATGTAGGTAAATCTTTGAATTTAGATGCATAGCATCATAGGAAATGCACTGGGTCTTGGTTCCATCCCTGTTAACTGTGTCCCTAAAACCGCTCTTGACAGTCTTGCTACTCGAGCTTGAGCAACTGACATAACAGGGTGGCATCAGTCACCAGAAAGAATCAGATTAGAGGGTGGGATCTTTTCAGCCCTACCCACCAGGGGGAGGAGATTAGGAAGCAAGCTATGGGAACTCTAGACAGGGTGGTAAGATAGCTCTGAAGACAGAGAAGCTCCACCCCTGACCTCAGCATGTCATACCTTTATCCTTCATACCTTCAAAAATAAACTAGAACCTGTCCTCCCAAATTGTGAGCTGCCCTAGCAAATTAATATAACCCAACCAAGCAGGGAGTGTCACAGATGTCTGACTGCAGCCAGCTGGTATAAGTGGGACCTTGTGTGATTGGCATCTGAAGAGGAGGTAGGGAGGCTGGTGAGGCCGAGCCCCCAGTTTTGTGGGGTCTGACAGGGTCCTGATGTACAGTAAGAAGTGAACTTCAGGCTACCCAGGTGAGACCCTCTGGACACTGCTGATGATGCGGCAAAGTCCACACACATCTAGTCAGAAATGTTCTGTATTGTGAGAAGATAGAGAAACATTTCCCCGTTATTTTCATAGGAACCAACGGGAAAGAGAATGATCTCATCCTTTCCTTGGTGCTGCTGTCAGAACCAGCTAACAGCTCCAAATTCATCAGACCTTCAGCATGCCTATTGGCGATGGCTACGCCGGGAGGCCGCATTAATGTGGAAATTCGTGTTTCATCAAGTGAACACAGGCCTTTTTGATTAAATTCTATTTCCATTTGTAATGGAGAGTTCAACTGTGTAATGTGGTTCTGTTGAAATTTAAACAATTTCAATCAACTTCAGAGCAATCTGCCATAGGCTTCTTTTCTCATGATCACCCACTGTTTTGCCAACAGTCAAGCAAACCCGAGATCCTCTCCTGCCCAACGTTGGGTCACAGTACTGGTAGCACCTTTCTTTCTTTCAGATTCACCTTTCACTGGGTCCTACACTTCAGCTCTCCACCCCATGCCCAAACTCCCATTTCCTCAATTCTTTGTGTTGATTGCTTCACAAAAAGTATTTTTCCCTTGACTTCTTCCTTGCCCAATGTTACTTATTTTGTGTGCTACTGATCGTAAAGGGTGAGAAAAATATAAAAAGTTTAACCAACCCTTTACAGCTGAGGTTATCTTGAAGAACAACTTTCAGTGATATCA